TGGACTTATCTCAGCTCTTTTTACCTTCGGGGGATCAGTTCTCGTTTATTCTTTTTACAATTTATTACTCCAGTTGTGGGAATAGGAAACCGTCCCAGGAAGGCTGTCGTTCGGAACGCGGTCATCATAGAGGAATCAGTCGGATTTCCATCGCCTCTAAGCTGCTCGTGTCTGTTGCACTTCATGGTCTGACTGATGCGAGAGGAGCAAGCCGGGTTTTGTGGAGATCGGGACTGCATTGACCACCTTTTCACATTGCGTCATTTGTTGAAATACCGCCATAGTTATTGGCGACCCACCGTAGTCGTGTTCCTGAGTATCAATGGATCCTTCAATTTGGTGGATTTATGTGCCTTATCGGACTCTCAGTGAAGATGTTCCCAAGAAATATTTGTCATAGGAGCGCTGTACGCGCTCCACCGCACTTCAATATCTTTAGTGGTATTAAACAAGGTTGCCTGATCTCATTCTTGATAATTTCCTCATCGACGAAACTGCGTTCACTGGAGATGACAAGGAGGGTGTGGAACTGTTTCCAAGTGATCACGGTCTTGACTTAGAGTAGACGGAGGACAATGCCGTATTCTTTGACTGCTCCCAAACGTTCCAAGCAATATCCGACAAATTAGCACTGAATGTTTGTCGTTCGGGGACCTATGGTTTGCACCCTCGGGATGCCAAGCCCTTCACTTGCGTGGAACCTTGATTGGTATCGTTTAGAAGTTGTTCAGAAATCCAAACAAATCGGCAACTATATTAGCGCTCGTATGATCGAAAATGAGATCGTCAGCCTTACAAAAAAATCTCGCTGCGCTTTTGCCATTCCCCGCCTCATGTGACGCCGGCGCGATATAACTCTCGCTCTGAAGAGCAGAGTTTGCGACGCAACTATTCTTTAAACTGTACCCTACGGCTGCAAAATCTAGTCCATCAACTCCACCTACAAAAAGAGGCCAGCTACGTTCGACCATCACTGACTTTTAGCCCATTTTTAGTGGGAACAACACGTGAGCAATGAGCGTGTTAGGTGCAGGAATAGCGAGTGGACCTCTCAGCACCGTTATATCACACCAGACACTAATGGGCCGCGAGTTGCGCATGCCGGCACACGGACTTCCGTGTCGTGCGTTTTTGCGTTGCCGGGGTGTGGATGGAAGAATGGGGCCAAGCGATGAATTGGTCACTTCGGACTTGGCGACGGTTCGTGCCTCCCGACTACCTGCTTGCAGTCTGAAGGACGATGAACACTTTTGGTTGGACACACTGGTTGATATGGCGAGTAACCGTTCCGAATGGCGCTGGTGTTTTGAGTCATTTTATTCCTCCCCATACCGCTTCTCCCTCAAACCACAATCATACTTGCAAAGCGTAATTTGATACAAAGCATTGCATTACTTTATTCGTGCCTTTTATTTCCTATACTATGATGTTTTGTATCTTGCTTTTTTCCCTTATCTTTTTGAATTTCGACACACCGGTTGCAGTATGTATTTTGCCTTCACCTAGCTTATATGCTTTAAGTGTCTGCTTATGTTTGGTGTGCTTGAAAGAATTGAGGCGCATTGCATACTTGGTTTGGGCAGCGTGATTGCTTCTGGCAAACAGTGCCGTTCTTCACTATATCCATGGTTGTGTGACAAGGATACCGGCTTTCACCGTTCCTTCTTCAATTCGCCATTGAGGAAGTCATGCAAAGCGCGTTCACCAGACTCGACTTGGAAGTTTTGGTGTTGTTTCCAGTGATCCATTTCCCGTTTTGTAGCACACGAATGATTTTGTTCTGCTGTCTGACAGTTTCTGAACCTGACGGGCAACTTCGAACAGATTGATTTTGGCTGTGAATCCTTTCGGGTTGTTTTATGTTCTCGAAGTGCACTTGTTATCCTAATTGGATGAGACTTTGCTAGCCGTGTAGAAGTTGCTTAGAAATGCAACTTCTTGGGTAACCATACCAGCATTCGCAGGGTATATGAGGTCACTAATCGTATAAACTAATCCTCGGGATGCTTTAGACAACCTTCGCCACTTATAGCGTCTATGCGGCACCAGCCTTGTCCTTGATAACTTTTGCATGCCTCTTTCATTTTGTGATTTCATATGTCTCCATATTTTGGCACTTCGCCAATGACCAGTGCTATTGGTCAAGTTTTACTTATATGGTTGGCGGCATTCACTTCTCTATTTGCTTGTCAATGCGAATAAGAAACACTTCGACATGCTGTGCTTGCCTAACAACTATTAGTGAATTGCGCTGCACCTTCCTAAACATCCCCATATCCTGTGTAAACTCGAAACCATGGGATTGTGGAGCATGTGGTTGGGAACCGCGATTGTTCCGGAGCCGGTCAACACACGTCATCCATGCGAACTCTAAGAAACATGCGGTCCTGACACGCAAGGCGGTTGCTGAATTGTAGCCTGATCCACACCGGATGGGACCAGTTTGAGCCTATCAGTATTGCAACAACTGTGCACCTCGTCTTCCCCACCAACGGTTAGCAGTCTCCTGAAGCCAGCGACCTAGGTGAACTCTTGTATTGTGCGTGTTGCAAACAGTAATGTGTCACCAACTCACTGGAGTTGCAGTTGTGGTTCCTCTGATATTAATATTTTAACCTTGACTTAAGACGGGGCACTTGCCAGAGGGTCATCATTCAAAAGTTCTCTGTGGGTTATATTTTGGCTTCTGTCCATCGTCGCAGCAGATTGTGCGGCTAAACTAGTGGTTTATTCGCCTGGCATGTTTTCCGGTGCGACATCGCGTGGTAGCTAAGCGTCGATACCACATGATCATACAAAAAGATGTATAGCAGGTGATAGAGGAGGGGTAACCAAGCAATAACTTGGTCCAGAGGAATGAAGGCCCTCACTTCGGAGCTGGCCTCGGTTGGAGCGTCACGGCTCCCTGGTTGGGGTCCAAAAGACGATGAACGCGTTTGGCTAGATACACTTGATGACATGGCAAGGAGCCGACCTCAATGGCCCTCCCCGTCCCTTTTAGCCCCCCTCCAACCACGATCTCATTTCGTAGCGTAATATAATTTTACATAATTTTTCTTTTTGCCTAGTAGCCGGCTGGTAGCTTACCGGAATGATGCCTATCCGTTGCTGGTAGCTCAGCTGGCATGCAACTGTTGTATTTATTTTCTTTTTTATATTGCGGCACAGTAGCTGAGGTGTTTCCCACCTCTTGCTAACGTGTATAATGATGATGATGATAGCAGGTGATAAAACCCTAGCATGGAGTATCAGGATTTGTTGTGCTTCTCAGAATCTTAATCTCAGCTAAACAGCCACCACATCCGGGAAAGCGTTAAATGACCGTTTCGTCTTATTAGGACTTGTCAGTGAGAGAATACGGCTTTCTGTCTGCCTCTCACCCATCCCTCCACTTCGGTGACAGTCCCAATGATCGTATTGGCAGAGACTGACTTCATAGTCAACCGAGGCCACAACTGAAATTGCGTATCACAGTGCCCGAAACTCAAATCAGCTTTCTAGCGCTCTCCTGGATGTGTACTGACTGTCTAGCTGCAACGGATCACCTCAAAACACCTAAGACGCAGGTTTACGAAAGGATCGATACAAACGCCACCTTATCTCTTGTGGGTGGTTTTGCTTGAAGCAGCCGTTGTGTGAATATGTCGCTACGAGGAATCTCCGTGAAACGTCATTCTCTTTTCATGACGCATTAAACTACACGATCTGTTCTGGTCTCCCTTACAGTCTTCCGAGATAAACGAGTTAAGTATTGAACTCAAGGCTTAGAGGTTACCTGCTAGCACCTTCTCTGTATCATCGGTTCCAGATTTGCTTAGTGAAGCAGGTACACAATCGTGAAACCGACCGTGGAGTTCGGCGTTGGGAGCGAACCTGTATCTACTTCACCTGTGTCCTCATTGACTAAATTCCCTGAGTTTCATCCACATATACTACACATTTCATTTTAGGAATGCCGCTTGTGCCACCCTCTAATCTTATACGCTTTCTTCTTCCAGCTTTTCGTTCCACTTTAAACCTTGCATCCTTCCCCCCGCCATTGTCAGCTTTTATTGACAACTTATGTTCAATGTAACGGTCATTCAGCTTGAGAGTGCATCTGTCACAAGGATGCTCCACCTGCTGCGTTGGACCAAACTAAGGCAGTTAACGAGCGCCTGCTGCCCTCAACCTTTGCTTGGGAATGCATTGCTTGCAACTCCGATTGTTCCAGTTACTTTGTTTGGATTTTGGACTTGCTTCAGGTGTTCTGTTTGATGCCGCCATTGCACCACTGTCCAACAGCTTACGCACTCTCCCGACTTCTGACCCAATTACCACTGGCTGTAGCCATTCGGTGCCTTTCGTCCACAGTGTGGGGCTATCTTTCAGTTTCGTTGTACATCTTCGCATGCATCGGCTTTCGATGGAGCTCCTATCTTGGTGGCTGACTTGTATGTCGTCCACTTACACTTAGTCGAGTGACCGTTGGCTTGGATGCACACTGTACTAAATTCAAAACAACGCGACCAGCTAGGGCAAGCCTGTAGAAGAGCTTTCAGAACTAGTTTCGCTCCACCTTTCATATTGGATCTCGTAAGCGTCTACTAATATACTTTGTCCCCAACTCCATAGCTCTTCATGCTGTCAGTGCAGTTACTACTCTTGTACGTCTCGACATTTACTCATCCTGTCTGCCCACGATAGTCAGTTTTCATATATGCATAAACTCACAGTATGCTTAGCACACGTGTGACTGTTAGTAGTTGCGCGGCAACGAAGCATCGGTACTGCATGCCGGCATACTGCTAATGCCTGCCGTGTCTCAAGAACGTTTCTACTTCGGATAATGTCGTTGGGTAATTAATGGTATCGCGTATCTTATATGATTCATGAATCTCCACTGATGAGCCTGTTTGCTCTCTTTCGAGTCAACAAGCGGTTCGGACTTGTGTGTTCCACTATTGTTACTCTCACTTTTAACACTTCGGCCACACTTTATGCATCTCTTTTCTTTACAGGAGCTGGAGGAAGAAGAGGCGCGTCGTCGTCGGGAGGAAGCAATGGCTCAGGCCGAGGCTGAGGATGACGATTCAGATGGCGCCGGGCCAGTTGGCGACGGCTATTCCGGTGATCCTGATAAGCGGACTGGGAAGAAAAAGGCGAAGAAACGGAAGGGGAGTAAAAAGGGGTCCGCTGCGACGGCGAGCAAACGGAAACGATTGGATGGACCAATTGATGGTGCGGAGGAATTGTCACGGAAAGTGTACGACACTATGGAGAAGTTGAAGGAAATCTTTTTCGTCATACGTCTCCATCGTCACAACTCAGCCGCTTCATTACCGCCCACATCAGATCCTGACCAACCAATACACAGCGAGCTAATGGATAGTCGGGATGCCTTCTTACAGATGGCTCGTGAAAGACACTTGGAGTTCTCTTCTCTGCGTCGCGCGAAGTATTCTACCATGGTTCTTTTGTACGAGATCCATATGGAACTACGACAAAGCTTCATGTATAATTGCAATGTTTGTGGCGCTCAGATTGAAACGAGGTGGCATTGTAACGACTGTGAGGAATATGATCTGTGTTCACGTTGTTACAAAACCGAAAACCATCCCCACCCAATGGTCAAATACGGTCTCGGCATCGACGAGGACTCCGGAGCGTCCGAGGAGACTGGTGATCGTCCCTCAAGCGCCGCCTCCACTGCGGACCGGCGAAGCAGCATTGAACGGTGTATCAAATCTTTGTTACATGCTTGCCAGTGTCGCGATGCAAACTGCCGTATGCAGACGTGCACCCAGATGAAACGCGTCCTTTGTCACACTCGCAACTGCGTCAAAAAGGCTACCAATAGTTGTCTACTTTGTCGCCAGCTTCTCTCACTCCTCTGGCATCATGCTCGCTGCTGTGATGAGTCCAAGTGTCCCGTACCGTTTTGTCTCAATATCAAGTATCGTGTGAAACAGAAGCAGCTCCAACAACGCCTACAGCAAAACAAGCTCTTGCGTCGTCGCATCTCAACCATGAACCGCGGCGCTGTTCCTGCCGCAGATCACACCCCGTTGGGTCCGCATGCTTCCTCTACTCCAATCGGCACGGGTTCCAGTTCATTGTCTGTTTCCGATGTAAACACTTCACTCCAAACCTCCCCTTATGGCGGGACTAATTCCGCCTCCATTCCCTCAACTAACCAAATGGGTCCCACCACCCGCACTTCTGTGCATCCTGCTGGCTACCAAAATAATCAGCATTTGCCCCACCCTCCGCAATCAAATCACACCATAACTTCACTTCCGGCTGGGGAAACTCTTAGCCCGCAACTGCAGCAGAGATCTTGTGTCACCTCCCAACCGACACCTGTATCAGTGATGCATCCGTTGCCAAACCAATCGTCGTCTCTCCCTCTTGGGGCTCGTGTCGCGGCTCAGACACCACAAAATCCTGGTCTCGCTCACCCCGCCAATCCGGCCCACGCATGCCACACTGGATCCTGGCGACCCAGACCCACCGTGGCTACCTCGATGGGTGGTATGGGCACATCTTACCCGTCTGCTAACTTTCAGTCTGTGATAGCGGCACCCAGTCAGTCGCAGCCAACTCCTTCTTCTAGCCACTCCAACATTGTGTCTGCGAGTCAATCTAGCAGTCAAAAGGCATCCGCAATAGCTGCGATGGCGGCCAAAGCCAAGCCCCAGGACATCGCTCACGTTAGTCATGTGATTCACGTGATCAAAGCTCAAGGCGCTTCGAGTGAAGAGCAAAACCGACAGGTATGCGTTCTATTCTCTATCCAAATTCTCAATGTTCGTCATTTGTTTGCAACACACGATCGAGCTGGGTTATTTTTGCCTTCGCGTGTGTCATTGCAACTTGCTGGGAAGTTGTTTTTCCCTCGATTTTCTTTCAGTTACCGTTTGCACTGTTGGTATATATCAGTCGACTGAGAGATACACTCCTTATTTCCGCTATTTTAACTGATCTCTCCAGCTGCTTACTCCGAGGACTCTGTTGACCTATGTGTTTAAGCCACCTAGACCACATGCCTTCGCAGTTCCGTCTTTCCTCAGTTTTCGCTCTCATTTTCCTTGGCGTCGTTTTCGATTATGAACCGTTTTTTTTTGTTTTTGCTTCGTCAGGCATTTATGCTCTATCCATTTGCTTACACCAACTTCTCACGCGAGCACATTAGGTTCTGGCATTACGCGTTTCTTCTGTGCTGCAGCCGATTGCGCCTTTGGTCAGACGTGTTACTATTTGACCACACTAATCCCCAATTTTCGGTTTTACGATGACTCGAACGACCACCCAATGATAGAGACTCCCGATTCTACTTTAAGTTTCTAGCCCTGATTGACCAATATAAAAACTACATGTGGCATGTTTTCTTCCCTTTTAGTTCATCGATTGGATCAAGCGCCATCCCGAATATCACGCAGCTTTCTTCGCTCTTCACTCTCAGAACAAACAGCAAGCGGGTCTCCGAGCGCTGTCGGCTCAGAAACGGCTGGTTGCGAGCAACATCCCTTCCACCGCCGCTTCGGCACCAAACGCTGTCGTCGCCTCATCTTCACTGTCTGACGCTTCCCAATCCCTGCTCACCACTAGCACTTTATCCACAGGCGTTGTGATCGTACCTCAAACGGTAACCAACACTATGAGCAATCATACCGGGGGTCTGTCTACTAATCACCTTCAGAATGTAGTCACCGCCAGTCCAAACGTTAACACCATTCCCGTTGCTTCTGGCACCGTGCCTTTAGCTTCTAACCAGTCGAACTTGGTTCACCAACCCGTTCAATGGATTTCAATCCAGCCTCCTGCCACAGTGAACCATCAGTCCTCCATGTCAGCTTCCACGTTGCACACGAATCAGACTGCCGGCGGTGCAACAACCCTTCGGTTTCGTGCCGTTCCTGGATCAGCCACACTAGTTCAGTCTCAGCCCCAGCAAGTGCAGCACTTTTATAGCACCTCCTCTCTTGGACCCGGTAGCTCGACCTTCATGAGCAATGTTTCCGGCGCTAACATGTTTGTATCAGCTGCGAGCGGGGGTATGGTGCCAGTCGGTGGACCACAGCGAGCGAACCCCGCAACTAATGTTGCTGTGCCTACCATTAATCGCCAAGGAGGCACTCCTCAAACAGCAATAGTTCACTTCCGCCCGCAACAGCAATCCGCGACAGGCCATGTGGCGCCCATCCAGCCTCACATCATTTTGGCCAACAGTGGTGCTCCTGGCCAGCTGCATCATCAGTCACAGCCTCAACTGTTGTCGAATTCGGGTGGAGGCCGTCAAGTTGTCACCCTTATGACTCACCAGCAGTCCTTATCTCATCCCAATGCCGACTCTAATGCTAGCCTCATTGATCCGAATGCACCTGGCAACGTTGGTGGGCATTCAAATACGGGCATCAAGTGATAACCGACTGGGATACCAACCCTTTTGGCTGTGTACCAATTTTGAACTCAGCGTCGACCCCACTGAAAGCCTGGACATACCCGCAGGACACAAAATGTATGTTTCCCGCGCGTGAGCTACCGCCACAGTGGACGTTAGCCGCTCACACACGTGTCAGCAAGCCATTTGCTTCAGTCGTTGTGCTGCGTACCTATCAGGTCATCCCCGTCCATTTTTGGTGCATCCCGATCTTCACACGTTTTTGCGCTGTTTGTTCCCTTCTGTCGCATTTACGTCCCCTTGTCTATGTTCCCTTTGTATCTTACATTTCAGCTGTGAAAACTTTTCTTGCCTCACTACTTTTCACTGCGGTCGCACTGAGTTACTGTACTTTTTTACTAATCTTCCGATTTACTGATGACGGCAAACGTCTGGACTCGCTTTACTCCTTGACTGCGCTGATGGTACGTGCTGTTGGACAATGGCTGCCGACGAGATCTTTTTGCTCCTCACAATAGGCTTCACTGCGGAGTTCACCTGTGAGCCCCTTCTCGTAGATCTTCGCGATCCCATAATACTTTCTACCTTTAACTTGTTGACTTTCAGATTGGGTTATTCCCGTCTACAGTGATCAGTCTACTCTCGCGTCCGTAGTCCCAACGACTGACATTTCACCAAATTCTGGTACCAGCCCACTTTCTTTAATCACGTGCGCACAATGATTACTGTGGCTTTTGTACACAATGATGCACGATTCAGGGGGATATCGTTGTTTGGCGCCTCCATCTTTGTCTTTTAATCTAAAGCCTATCTTGTCAGCCCACTGGGAGATTTCGGTCCTGTCTCATCAGTCGAACTGATTTCGAAACTGTACATAGCTAGGGGTTTCTCGCTCATTCTTGATAGCTCTTTCATCGTTCTTGTACATGTACTTTATCGTTATTGTGGGTCCAGCAAGTTCGCTTTTTCTCTTCTTCTCTAGCCCTTCCCCAATGCCTTTATGAGTATTGTTTTTGCTGGTGTACATGCTACTTCGAGATCTGGTTACCGGTTTTTGTTGTTCTTGTAATAATCCCCCCCTGACACAACACATATGTGAGGCGGCGTCTGTCCATAGGTATTCTCCGACACTTCGTGTCCTGTAAATTGATTTCACATAGAGCGTTACATTGTCACTATACCTGTTTTGTCTCTCTGGGTTCGAGTCCCCATTCTCCTAGATTGGGGTGTACTAATAATCGCTTTGTCTGCATAAACTATCAGGGTTACCTAGTAGAAACGTATCAACACGAGGTGGCCTGATGCTTTTCCCATGCCTCTGTCCTAGACTTTAGTGTTCTAACAGTATCCCAAACCGCGTATAGCCATTTGCCTTGTATAGCATCAATGCAAGACACTAGCGTGCTTTTGATGGCTAATTTTTCTTTAACGGAATGACGGGTATTCGTCAGACAGAGATTCCAGGACAGCATTTCACTTTCGAGCTGTTCCCGTTCATCGAACTCGCTGAGATTATCGCTTGGAATTCGCACGGACTTCAATTGAGTCCAGTTCTGTTCAATGACTGCGTGATGGCTAAACGCGGGACCAAGTCGCAATTCCCTCGAGCTAATAACTATATTTTCGTCTCAATACCCCTTCAACGAGATTGGGTCTTTTTACTACGCAACAGTTTGCTTATTCTTCTGGTTGGGTTATACTCCTTGAAATCTATTTTACATTCATGACACGTTTGTGCTCACAAGACGATACAAAGACGTTTCCAAGTCGCTTGAGCTCGTAACACTGGTGCAGTACCGTTCGTTTACTACTTGGTTTGCAGCTGGTTGTATTCTGTAAACGGTACTTCGTAGACCGACGAATACAGACGGAGTACTGCACAAATCACCCAAGACGTGTACTCCGGCCCGTAACCTTAAGGATCCCAAGCTTGTCTTTTAATCCGATGGCGCGGGTTCGAGCCTGCGTAGGAACTGGGGACCTTCACAGCATCCTAAGCGCAGGTACGACTGGTGTTGGTTACGCGGCAGCGAAGCCTCGGTACTGCGTACCGGTGTACTGCTGATACCTTGCTTTTATGTACGCAATACCGTCTCACGAAGCTCTAACTTTGCGCGCAGAAGAAGTGCATAGAAAGGCAACGGAATAAGGCGGGTACTGGAGACGGCTAGTGTAACACTGCCGATTCTTGCATCACACCTAGGCCTGTCACTGAGTCATCTTTATTAATCTCCGTACATTGACCTTGCTTTCACCAGACTAAGACACATGGCGTCGTCTTGATGTGAGTCTCATGCTCAAAAGCAGTGTCTCCGCTCGTACGGCCCTGTTTTACGGCTGTGAGACTTGATATGTTCATTCAAGATATATGGCACGGTTGCCCGTTTTCGATAACCGTTCTCTGCGAAGAATTGCTGGCGCATGGTGGCAACAGCACGAAATTACTGCGGTGGTTCGTAACCGAATGCTTAAAGTGAACAGATCCCGTTTGCAAAATCTTATTCCACGACTCCCGCCTACGTTGGCTTAGCATTGCGTATGCTGGCCTATCGCCCTCCCCGTCGAGTGTTATTCGCATCTCCCGGAAGTGATTGGAAGTTGTCTTTAAAGATAACAAAGGGAAACGAGTGTGAAAAGGCGACATGCTCATAATCAGTCCATCTGTGCTGGGGACCAAGCGATATGAACTCCCAGTTCTTACAAGCGTTGGATGTTATGGCCCGCAACCGACATCATTAGCGCCAATGTGTTGTTCTGCTGTAACTTCGAAGCTTTAGCGCCTAATCGTGAGACAAAAAACCTAAATCAGCATATTTTTAGCGATAGAACAACTGTTTCTTTTGTCCCACTATTGTCTCCCATTCTCACCATGACTCTGGTGGCACAGTGCCTATGCTCAGACTTTTGAATGCGTATGCATCAGTTGACTGAACTGATGCCTCGCTGCCGTACATCCACAATGGTCTACCGAATGAAGGAAACCTAAGTGTCCTAGGTAAAGATCTAGCATCAACGGCATACCATGGCATGCAACTCGCTATCGTGCAAATATAAGGCGGCATCGGCGAGACAGCTTGTGGATTTCACAGATCCGTGTCCTCATCAGCCATTACCCTCAGCAAATAACTCGGATTCAGCCACAATTGGAACAAACGTTCGCCACTGATGCCGACTGCGTGCCATATACAGTCACATCTCCAGCCAAGTATAAGACGGTTCACGCGGGCTCCAGCATGGAAGGCGAGATGGACCGTCATCCAGTCTAGTCGTCAGTTACCTCATTCGCAGTTATTAGCCTTGCGCCCCTCTACATCTGGCAAATAAAACGGCTATCCTCGGTAAGAGGTGTCCGGGCATACGTGCGCAAGCTAGTGTAACTTGTTCATTGCTATCAGCTGCTTTAAGGAACCAGCCTCATTATCACCCTCCACAATTCGCCTGCGAATGTCCTCGTTGCGGATACACCGACGCCAATAATGCTTCGCAGGCAGCGACTAGAAAGCGTTACTCACCTAGGCGACTTAATGCTTCAGTTCTCCATCACCAGTAGGGCATATTCACTTTATCTCTCAGTGCGCCTCTATGACACTCTGAAACGGATCTGCGGGAAGCTCACCACGTCACCTAGGGCGTGTTAGGACTGCCCTGCTTCCTGGTTAACTCCGCTTTTATCTACCTCATTAAGCCATCGAAAGTTGGTAGGTGCTCTATCAAGGTAACCTATTTTAGGATCGCGGGCGTAGTCACTAGTTGTTTGAGCCCTTCGGATTTTACTCGATCTGGACAGTCGGTTTGCACACTTGTCGAATATAGCGTGACTGTTGAGGTATCAGCTACCTTGTCTCCCATATTCTGGTTTATTTCTGTCATGTTGCTAACTCAGCTCTCGAATATCAACGTAGGAGTGGTGCGGTTGTACTCTCTTACGCGGTTTCTCTCAAGCACTTGAAAGCGATAGTTTATTTGATGTTTTTTTATTATACTACGCCATGAACTCCAAGATAACGACAAATCTGTCGAGTTTAAATGTTCCAAGAACAGCATGAAGGGGGCTTTTAATTGCATCAACGCGGAAGAATCGATCCTCCAAACACATTCGGTTTTCGCAGGAAACGTTTATCATCCAAATGTCCCCAACTTTCTTTGTGTCAAAATCCCAACACAGCCACTCAGTCGCTGGAGTGTCTGAAACCATCGTGTTTATCGCGAAGTATTAAGGCTCCCACCATGTGTATCCTATTAAGTAATTATTATCTGCTATGCATCATCCTTCTCTTCTGTTTACGCAAGCCACATGCTTGGTCCAGGGTTTGCTTTTCTTGGGTTACCAGATTGGCGACTTTGTAGTGATCTGTGCGTCCGCTGTTCGCATTGTGCTAACTGAATTTATCGTATAAATCCGGCTCGCTTTCTTGCCTTTGTTCTCGTCCCCACTCTACTTGACAGTGCTTTGCAAGTATAATCCTTGTTGCTAATACAGTGCTAACCTATACCTAGTGAATAAATAAGAGTGCTTTCCGCAATGTTTCTTATGTTTCTAACCATCTCCTCGACATTTAACTGCGGGTGACAATAATTCGAGGACCATCGGTCCAGCTCACCTATCGCAGCACGTTAGCTTTACAGTTTCCTGTGATGGTGGGGTCACCTCAGGGTAAACATTTGGGTGCAAGTCGACCGACGCACTTGGAGTTGGCCGTGGCCCCAGGTACGGTATCATCATAAAGTTCGGTGAATGTACGAATTTCGCAGGATAATGTGTAACCGTCCTCAGGCTTACACTGTCGAACTCTTTGATCACAGACTCTTCTTTGGTCCGCTGTTTGTCCATGTCCTCCCCGTGCTCCGGCGACTAGAGGTGAGATTTCTTGCAACTGGATACAGAGGGTTGTCATCCACCCACAAAGCCAGCCACCATCGCTTCAGCTTTTCTTACGCGTCATATCTCAGAATAATCGCTCCTTGATTTTTCGTCGAATTAGCATCCTGGGCTACGTGTGATATTTCAAGCCCCCCGTTCTCATAACTTCCTGGAGTTCTCTAGCTTCTCGCTATGCCTAATTAGCCTATTAGGGAACATTCATAAGCTATCGAGTTTCTGCTTTTTTTTGCCCCCGCGACTGCATAACGTGGCTATTTCAATAGCAGCTGTACGTCCTTTGCACTACCAAAGTTCCTAGAGCCGGGATTCACCAGCAGACTTGGAATTATTTTCAACTTTTGGTCATGAACACGGTAACGAATCTGAACAGTGTCTAATCTTTGTTTCGTCACTTCGTATAGTTGTTAAGATAAAGGTTCCTTGGGATGTCATACACTCATTCCAATTCTTGCGTTATCACTGTCGATGAGGTCACTCCCATTGTGGAAGTGCGCTTAGTCACAAGTATACAGGAAACTAGACTTGTAACCTACTCTGACTTGTTCCACAAGCCAACCCCCATATCTGTCATCACAGCGACACATGAGCCATTTGAACTTACACTTCACTGCCGTACAACCACAATGACTTGCAGTTAATGGTATCAGCAGTACACCGCTAAGCAGTGCCGACGCTTCGCTGCCGCGCAATCACCAACCGTCGCGCGTGAGCTACGGATACTACGAGGGTCGCCTGGCCCCCGACGCAAGCTCGAACCCGCGCCATCGGATTACAAGGCAAGCCTATGATCCGGGCCAGCGAAGAACGATAACGACGGTCTAGCGTTAAATATTCATGCCCTAAGCAAGCATTCAGGGTCGAAGTACTCAGACATTGTGTCAACAACAAGATGTCATCACAAAACGCTATCTATGGTGCAAAGACAGAGCAGCATCGGCAAGGCAGCTTCCTTTCGGTTTTCACTTCCCCGCTTCATAATCAGCCATTATGTTGCCCCGCGGATAATTCGCCATCAGACAACCGGGCCAGGAGACGACAGCAAACGCGCCGCTTGTGCGGATCGCCAGTCATATTCTGTAACGTCTCCAGCCACGCGCAAGACTTGTCACCTGGACATCAGCGTGGTAGGCACAACAGCAACCAATTTGGACCTTAACGGGGTGCGGCGGTTTGCGTACCACTTTAACCTATTGAGCTATACTGGGGGTGATTCCGGGCCCCTTGAGAGATATTCCTTCCAAGTTGGTCAATGGTTAAAGGTCAGATAAACTCAATCTCCAGGTTGGGGGTTGGGAA